AAGAGACATATTACAGCCCATCTTTTGATACGATGACAGCATATTTTGACAAGGGTTTTATAGTTGCTTTTCTATTTCCCAAGAAATTAGTGACCACCAGACGGAAATCATTCCAAGCAGTTTTTTCAATACCTGTTAAAGTGTTGTCAAACTGTGTATCTTTCAAAATATTTCGAATCTGTGGCCCAACAAAATACCTTCTTTAACCTTTGCCTCACTTAGTCTTGGAAATTTCTGACGCAGGTATTGAAAAGCTGACCCATCTCTATCTAATGCCTTGACAAAGTTTTTCATTAGGCCCAACTTGATATGCAGTGGTGGTAATAAAAATTTTTTCGAATCTACTAATGGCTGTACATTTTTTTGACCTGGCTCTAGGAATTGACGAACAGGCCAGTTTTGTCTGGTGTAATGAAGTACCTTTGCCCGACTGTCCCATTCACACAAAAAACAGCAAAACTTTGTGTAGCCTAGCTGCAGCCCAAGTAAAAGTGCAACAACTTTCAAATCGCCACAAATGTGCCATTGGTGCTCATCGTATTTTATGCATGTCTATAGGTACTTCATATTGTCATATGATTCTTTCATGTGAACTGCATACCCTACAGGAAGAGATGGTAAAATATTTCCAATATGCAATAACACTGCCTTTAAACTCAATGTTGAACTGTCTATAAACAATCTCCATTCTTCGGGTTATAGTTTATATTTAAAGCCGCCAGTAAGCCGTTAATGTTACTGCAGAAAACCAAGTTATTCTCCATATTGAAAAATGGTTCTAAGTCTTTGTGGCGTTTACGAAAAACACATACCGAAACAACGTCTTTTAACAAGTTCCACTGCTGCAGTCTTGATCCAAGTAACTCTGCCTTACATTTTGGAAGTTCTAAATCTCTTACAAGATCATTTAATTCTGACTGTGTTATTTTGTGCGGTTGGTGGCATGACGTGCTCGGTATAAAATCAGGATCTCTTGACGTTGATGGCATATCTTCTTCCTGACGAATCACTCGATCGCCATGATCTGATTCGTTTTCTGATTCGCAAGTGTAGGATTCTGGGGGTTTTGGAATAGGATTTTCGTCACTGTGAGGCACAGGTCTCATCGCAGATGGTATGTTTGAGTAGTTAATAACCGATTTTTTTTTCTTGAACATACCTGTGGCTTGTCCAACACAAGGTACTATGCAAAAGTAACAATCATTAATATGATTTGTAGGCTCTCTCCAAACCATTGGGACAGCAAAGCGCATAGACCGTTTTTTGCCATTTAACCAGCTCCTCAGACTTGAAGCACATGTATTACAGCAGATGTGGGGTGCCCACTGTTTGTCTTGATCACCTAGTTTACAACCGAAATAAAGCTGATATGCCTTTGTTATTAGTGGAGTAATAGACCGTCTCTGAGACGCAAAAGTCACATCACCACACACGTAACAAAACTGATCTGGATTGTTTACACACTTTCGAGACATCTTGCATGAACGATGTCAGCCGACTGAGGAAAAAATGGCTAATATAGAACAATATAATGTACACGTATGTATAACGTAACACAATCATGCCGATTACATCATCTTTCCTTGCCGAAAATAAAAATGTAGCACGTGCATTCTTGTGAATTACAGTATATTAACACTGTCACAGCAGGAACACATATAATTACCGTATCTCTAAAACTTGAACTATTATTGAAAAAATAAGTTTCATTCCGGTTTTAGCACATTAAAAATAGTAATATTTTGTTGATTTTATTTAGGATATTTTTTGGCTGTTGATCAGTGTAATCAAAAAACAAATCTCATTCTTTTTTTTTCTATATCGAAGCATCCGCGCAGGTAGAAGCCTAAACGCCGGAACACCGCGGCTGCTATGATGATCCCAAAGAAATTTTGTTAGTAAGATTTTTGAACTGCCTAAGGTTAATAGAACTGGGAAAAGCTTCCTCTTGTAGATTGTTCCACAATATCGACACCCTCGGGACAAGGGAGCGGTCGTATCGGCCAGTTCTGGATGTACGAAGTTCGACGCGGTTAGGACGGGACGCCAAAGTCAGGCGGGTCTGTCTGGCAGGCACATCGCGCGGCGGCATCATGGAAGAGAGTTCTGAGGAGCAAAGCCCGTTGGTGTGGCGGTAGTAAAGAGCTAGATCGCCGTGCGAAAGAATTCCGAGACTGTCTGTTAGAGAAGGGTCATCGATCAGTCGGACCGCCATCCTCTCGACAGCATCGAGCATGGATAATGTAGTCGGAGCGGCAGCACCCCAAACGTTTGGGCGATACTCGAAGCTATCTAGGTCTTGTATACAGTAAAAAGGTCATGCGGAGAAAAGTACCCTGCATGTAGAGTGCTGTCACCAGCGAAGCTGTGGATTGGGTTGATCGTGCAGGAAATGAGGTCGTTGATATGTAAGAGAAACAGTGTCGGAGCCGAGACCGACCCCTGGGGAACAAACGCGTTGACGTTGCGGAATGAAGAGGAGAACCCGTTGTTTACGACGGATATCTTGCGGCCAGAGTCAGCCACCCATCTGCAAAGCTTTTGTGGGAGGCCATAGGATGGAAGTTTGCTTAAGAGGGCAGCGTGCCACAGCTGATCGAACTCTGTCGTGATGTCAAGAGCAACGACATGAGCCTCACCATAAGACTGTGGATCGTTGGTGCCGGAAACCATACTGCCTTGAAATCTTTCGCGATTTTTCGCCAGTAGACGTGGAAAGTAAAAATTGAGTAATTACAACTAGGCGGAAAGATGAGTGAAAATGAGGATCCAAAATAATAATGAATGAGACCACGTACACCCTGTTGAGCCTGCTCCAGAGCTTTTGGATGATATCATAAGAAACCTTGGTGTTAACCAGAAATGTGGTCCAGATTCAAAGTTTATATTCAAAGTTTATTCAAATTCAAATTCAAAAACCAATATAACTTACAAATTAAAAAAAAACAACCTTCAGTACAATTTAAATAAAAAAAGCTTAAAAAATAGATGAGCTTGTATACTCTTGCTACCCTGAATGACCAAGATTGCAACAGAAATCTGAGCAAAGATACTAGCATCAGATCTAGAACCAGCAAGTAACGGTATATGAATTGTGAAAATTCTGTATACATTCGTAAAGGGTAAATGTCTGAATCTTGTCGTCACAAATCCTACATTACGTGTCTACATAAACAAATCTAGAATTCATAACAATAGTACAGAAGCATACTAAAAACACTCAGAAGAATAAATATAGAGTACATAAAATATGAATATCTGAAATATGATAATATAAGGATATTTCGAGTAAGGTCAAACTATGATGTTTAAACAATAAAAATTTTGCGTAAAGGTTAAGCAGAGAAACAAGAGTACTACAATTTACTACAAAGGAATTTACTACAAAAGAATAGACACCTAAGCTATAAGCTTGTGTGTGTCATACAATATACAAATTCAATGCATGGATAATGGTTATAAGGTATATTATGAGCAAATGTATATAAAAAAAGAAATAAAAAAAAACATTAAATAGAAACGAAATTACTGAGTTGAGTCAAGCTACCGTCGATGCAAGCATGTCAAAGTTATTTAAGATGAACTTCTTAATTCTTTTTTGAAACGATACTTCGAGAGGACTTTATATTCTAGGGGTAATTTATTATACAACCTAATACCATCAAACTTTATGCATTTTTGGCAAACAGATTTATTCACTCTGGTATAGGTGTAACTTATATTTATTTTAGTTCTTGTTTCATAAGCGTGGCTGGTTGGAACATTGTTTCGGGAGTGAACAAATTTTAGAGCAGCAAAAATATGTAAACCTCTAATATTCAAAAGATCATTTTTAATGTAAACAAATCTGCAACTTGACCTACATGGGATACGAAAAATAGTCCTGACAATATAATTTTGCGTGGTTTGTAGTATTTTTAAAGTACTAGTGTATGCGGCTCCCCAAATACTTATCCCGTAAGTTAGTAGAGACCCCACAAACGAGTTATATATTGAGAAAAGACTCTTTCTGCATAAAATATTCCTGAGAATAAAAAACTTATGAATAATTCTCCTTAATTTCGATGCCAAAAGCTCGGCATGACTCTGCCATTTTAAATTACTGTCAAAAGTGATTCCTAAGTAACTAATAACTTCAACTCTTTCGACAGTGTCAGCACTATCATTTATAATTAATGTTCGGTGGTGTAGTGGCAAGCCTGCTTTGGTTGGAGAAACGTTACATACTCAGTTTTAGAGATATTAAGTTTAAGTAAATTGTTATCCAACCAGTATTTGACTTTATTTAATGACAACTCGGCATTCCGTATTGCGTCATCCCATGAATGACCAGTGCAAACTAAAACAGTATCGCCTGCATATGATATCATTTTACAGTTGAAATTACATCGAAGTAGTTCATTTATGTATATGAGGAACAGTGTTGGTCCCAAAACCGTCCCCTGAGGCACACCTATTTTGATCTTTTGAATGTTGCTTAAATCTGACCCTACCTTAACTTGTTGTAATCGATAGTTCTCAAATAAGTTCAGAACTCCATTACGCACTCCAACACTGTCTAGTTTCTTTAATAAAATTGTATGAGATACTGAATCGAAAGCCTTTTGAAGATCTAGGAAAACTGCAACAGTCTTATTTCTATCTTGAAAATTTTCAAGCACTTGTCCTGTAAGTTCTTGTAGAGATTGCTCTGTATTCCAATTTTTGCGGAACCCAAATTGACAGTTCGATATTATGTCATATTTCTCAAGAAAAGAACAAAGTCTGTTATTTAAACACTTCTCAAAAATACATTGATAACTGAAATAGGTCTATAATTGAACATATTGACTTTACTTTCAGATTTAAATATTGGTGTCCCTATGCTTTCTTCAAATTGGCGAGGAATTACTGAGGATTTGAAACAGAGGTTGATAATGTGAGTTACCGGTGACGATATACTTCATGATACAAACTAAAAAGATCTTAAAATTTCCGAAAGAGTTTTAAAAATCACTTACGTTGTCATATCCAATTATAATCCTAAGCTAAAGCCACTATATCCAATACCATCACTTTTAGTTTAAGCACGCTATTCCCTCATGTTTTGATGTGAAAGACGAGAGATCTACGTTATCACTGAAGAGTCTATGCTCCGTCGGAATAGCTATCGGTATCAGTTGTTCAAGCATTGACCCATTTGTATATACAGTAATCATAATCACCCGCTGATAAACACGAGTAAATTTGCTTTATCAATGCTCCATGATTTTGCCGAAATGCAGAGATATTGGAATAGTGACGGTGGTAGAAAGGATGTGGCGTCACTATTAAATCAAGCTAGCTAGGCAAAAATCGAGAAGATTTTAGAAAAATGTGATAAGCGGAATAAACCAGTCTAGTCACTTGAGGCAAAATGGCGATGAAATATTATTGATGTAAATTTTTTAGTAACTGAACATTTTCGTTTTGTTGTCAATTGCAAATAATTCTGCTGCATTATTTTTTCAATATATCAATCTGTAAATAAAAAAAAACTAAACGAGATATGAGGGTAAGTTTAATGGACTTGACTGGTTTATGCAAAGTTTTTTGATTTTTCAAGGAATAGAATTAAAATAAAACAAGCTTTAACGTTAAAAATATTATTTTTTGTTAAGTTGCTGATTGGAATAGACTAAAACATGATTTAATTTAACTTTTGATACAAACTTTAAATATACTAAGTGACATATAAATCCGAACACCCAGTTTAAATGGTTTTATTTTAATAAAAATTGGTGAATGTATTTACCTTACTGTAAATAACAAGTGAAAAATTTTCAGCCTTATCAGTTGGACATTCCGGTTTTTATACTGCTTTTTTTTAATTCACCAACGCTCTAAAAATGAATATTTCAGCTGCAGTAAAGAATCAACGTTGGCGGATTTTGGTTCTTGACATCCTTTACGATCGGTTACGATGCCTAGATTACGGAGACCTGTACGATTCGTCAACTTAGTGAGTTTGATAGGGGCCGTATAGTGGGACTTCGGGAAGCTAGACTTTCTTTTCGGGCAATTGCAGTTAGAGTGCAAAGAAGTGTAGACACTGTGGTTAGGTGTTGTCAGGCATGGCTTCGAGAAGGCCGTACGCAAAGAGCAAGGGGCACTGGACGCCGCCGTAGAACAACAGACCGTGAAGATCGCCGCCTAAGATTATTGGCCTTAAGGGACCGTTTCTACACTACCAGGTCCATTGCAAATGAATGGTTTGCAGAACACGGAAGACCTATTGGCATGCGAAGTGTTACCGACGAATGAGAAGTTTTGGCTTGTTTTCATACCGGCCACACTAGGTCCTCCCTTTAACTCGAGAACACCGACGTAATCGCCTTGAGTGGTGCAGACAACGGTCACTCTGGGATCAGAAATGGAACAGTATTGTCTTTAGTGACGAGTCTCGATTTTGTTTAGGCATGCACGATGGTCGTGCCAGGGTTAAAAGGCGACGTGGTGAAAGGAGGAATCCACAGTTTTTTGTTGAAAGACATGTTCATCACACTGTTGGAGTTATGGTTTGGGGTGCTATAGCTTATGGTTCCAGGTCACCTTTAATCTTCATCAGAGGTAACATGAACGTGCAGCGTTATATCCACGAAGTTCTAGAATCCCATCTTTTACCCTATCTTGACACCCTGGCAGATCCAACTTTCCAACAAGATAATGCCCGACCACATGTTGCAAGAGTCACAATAGACTACTTTCCACCTAATGATGTCACATTGTTACCATGGCCACCAAGATCTCCCGACTTATCCCCAATTGAGCACGTGTGGGATATGATGGGTAGGAGATTGCTCAATTTGCAACGTCCTCCTCAGACTCTAGAAGTAGTTAGAGAGGAGTTGGTGGTTGCCTGGAATGAGATACCACAGGAGGACATTGACCACCTGATCAGAAGCATGCCTAGGCGCGTTGGAGAATGCGTAGCACATCAGGGTGCATCCACGCATTATTAAGGTCAAAGGGCTTTAAAACAGTGCAATCATTTTGAAATTTTTATCATTTACTTATTATGCTTCATTAAGTACTTATACAAAGTTTTATTAAAATAAAACCATTTAAACTGTGTGTTCGGGTTTATATGTCACTTAGTATATTTTCATTTATTCATCTCTACTGAATTCTGATGCGGAAGTTTCTTTAGCATCTGACGAAAAGCTGTGATGGTATTTTCCGATTTCTTCATAGAACCACACATTGTGGTACATAGTTTTAGTCAAAGTCATAACTTGATAACATTTATTGTTCTAGGTTTCTTCTTCCACTATACATCTTATTTATAGTGTTTGATAGAGTCAGAGGCTGTACATTCCTCCAATTTCGGATTTCAGAAATATTAAACTGATACAGAGACTGTTTCGCTACATTTAAATGAAACCTAATTATATAATTTTTCACAGCACATGATTCGAGAGTTTCGAATAGTAAATTTATTGTTCTTCTCGAAGTCTTTTACAAAAAGCTGTTGCAAATGGGCCTTGAAATTTAAAAATATACCCTGCGCTACATGGATGACTGACAGCTGTCAGAATACGTTTAAAATAGTTTTGGGTAGTTAAGGTTTTCAAATGGGTAGAGGAAAGGTTATTAGTGAGAAAATTTGGTAACTGATAATTAATTTTTTTTATTCTGGGAAATCAAACTCAGAAATTGCAACTTTGTTAGACTTATCGCGGTACAGTGTGAGAAATATTGTTAGAAGATATAACGTAACTGGTTCAGTTAATATTAAGCCACGATATGTGAAAGAAAGTAATATCACAAATGCCGACCGAAGAGCATTAAGAAGAATAATCGTGAAAAACAGGCGTGCCAGTTATTTACAATTAAGTGCTCTGTGGAGTGACGCTGTTGGAAGGAGAATTTCTAGGTCCACAACTCATAGAGAGGCCGACAAACTGGGATTTAGTACTTGCAAGGTAAGGTAAGTTTTGTTACAGAAAAAAGTGAAGTAAAAACCCTAAAGTTGCACAACTTGTTTATAGGCCAAAGAAAAGCCACTATTAACTCCACTGCAAAAGAAGAACCGGCTTAGATGGGCTAAAGAACATAGACAATGGACACCTCAACAATGGTGTGCAATACAATGGAGTGATGAGGTCCGATTCGAAGTTTGTGTTGGTGACAGTCGCAGTAGAGTTATGCGCAAAAAAAATGAAGCATTCCATGTTGACTCTCTGAAGAGAAAAGTGAAATTTCCAGCATCCATTATGGTCTGGGGCAGTATGTCATCAAAAGGAGTAGAGAAACTTCTTTTATTGATGGAAATGTGAATACAAACAAATCTTTGGCAATTTTAGAAGAATCGCTTTTACCAGTGATGCAGTGATGGAAGAATGTTTGACATCCGGCCAAGATTTTGTGTTTCAGCAAGATGGTGCAGCGTGCCATACCTCAAAAAGGCTATAAAACGCATGAAAGAAAATAATGTACCACTTTTGAAATGGGTTTCTAGCAGTCCAGATCTGTCACCTATTGAAACTTTGTGGCACGAGATGAAAAAGGTTCTACGACAACATCCTGCTCGTACAATCACCGAACTGAGACAAAAGCTTCAAGAAATATGGGATTGTTTTACACCAAATTTTGCGAAACTTTGGTTAACACTATGCGCCAAAGAATTTCAGCCGTAATAAAAATAAAGGTGATGTTACCCAATGGTAATCTTTCAATTGTTGCTTTGTTAACTTCGCGCATTTATTCGCACATTGTTTATTTGTTCAGATGTTCTATTAGTTATAGGTCTAAGTGATTTCAAATAATTTATTTTTTACGACTAGAGTGTATCTAAAATGTTTTTGAGAAAATAAATTGTTTTAGAAGTAAATAGTTTCGTCATGTTAGTTTATAAAGGCATATTTGGTAAAAATCTTGAAGTGGGCCAACTGAAGTGGGAAGGGGCTCGTATATTAATACTTTTAGAAGAAAGTTCCAGAGAATGTATTTTACAAAGTCATGCAGTCATCAATAATGCAGCCATTCAGCACATGCTACATACTAACAGCGCATTTCAGTATGAAATATTTTTTTCATAAGATTTAAGGCTCATCTGTGACCATGTAAAAATTTCAGCTCTGAATATGTATACACATGAGTATGAAAGAATCTAGTAAACAAGTTTTTTCTGTTCAACAAAAGGTGATAGACACATCCGCTTCGTTTTAAAATGTGTATAATAACGATGCTTTTCGAATATCGTAACGAATCTATTCAATTACTTACAAATACGAAATGTTTGAATTTGTTCAGAAGAAAAAAACATAACTTATACATAACTTCCTAGGTACATATGAAGCAAGTCTCATTGCCACTTCCTTGGTCTATTTTTATCATTCTGTACTATCATTAGCATCATCTGCCTCGCATATTGGTTAAATGTAAGCTTGCACTTGCTGGCAAAATTGTCAGCAGTGAGCCTTTCGCCGAGCGTCAATTTCAGCGGCCTCTTCAGGAGAGGACTTAGAGAAGCTTTCGCTGAGATCAAATTTATTGCAAGTTTCCCAAAATGAACAATTAGACTTATTAAGGCAATTGGAAATTGAAGAGCGGGTGGCGGGTGGCGCCTGCATGATTAAGCAGTACGAGGGATGTTTCTTAAGTTTTGCATATGGAAATAAATTAACAGGCTAGGTAGTTTAAATGACTTTATTGTTTTTCGAAGATTAATACACATTTGCATGCGCTCGAACCAATTTTCGAAGCACTTATTCCACTCGTTTGCTGGCAGATCCAAAACAGAATTTTTGAATGCATCAACTGCTTCTTCTGGTGACTGGAACCTTTGACCACGCAGTCTGTTTTTAATTTTCGGGAAAGCAAAGAAATCTTTAGGACCTAGATCGGGACTATATGGAGGATGGTCCAATAATTCCACGTTTTCTTTCGTTAAATACTGCCTTGTTTTTTGGGCTGTGTGCGAGCTTGCATTGTCTTGGTGGAGGATGATTCTTCTTTCGGGGTTGATTTTTCGAAGCTCTTTGATTACTTTTGGCAAACAAATGGTGGTATACCAGTCCGCAGTAACAGTTCTTTGCTCATTAAGAGGATTTGTTGCAATATGACCCGTTTTTGATACAAATGTCGCGAGATCTTCAAGGACGCCTCAATATGTCACATGTCTTCTTCAATGATAAGTTTGCGCACAGCATCGATTTTTTCCTAGGTGACTGCCGTTGTTGGTGCACCCACCCTGGGATCGTCGCTAAGACTCACCCGTCCACGTTTTAATTCTCCATACCAACTGAAAATTGTCGGCTGATGTGGCGCTTCGTTGCCGAAAACAGACAGTAACTCAGCAAGGCATTCTTGTTGCGATAATTGTCTCTGAATGTTGTAATAAATTATGGCGCGAAAATGTTCTCGGTTAAGTTCCATTTTTCTAATGACTTGGCGACACTTAAAAATTCACTGCAGTGAGAACACTGCACGCGTTGTTGTGAAACTTTGAATTTAAGTTTACTAAAGAGTGAGGTTAAGATTCAGCACTGACGTTCGACCCGCGCGGCCTACTATGTTTCCATATGCAAAACTTAAAAGACGTCCCTCGTAATAGCATTGCAATAAAAGGCTTGAGGGCTGGGCGATTCCCAACCATGTCCACGTTCAAGTAAATGGTTAGGAATATCTTCATCTTTATGCAATATGCGTCCTGCTGTACTGATCACACAAAAAAGTCCTTCAAAACTCATTATTATAATCATAAAATTTTAAATAATTCAGTGCTTTAGAATTCACATATTTCTAATTTCATGTATGAGAAACTGTTACACATGTAAGATATTAGAAAGTAATGCATTTGATGTACTCAAATCCGAAACATAAGGTTATCTTAGGTCAATAACAGCGGATTGGTTCAATTAATGTGAACAATGTTGGTCTAATTCGTAAGAATAAATAAAATTATCATTAGCTGGTGCGGCGCTGAGGGTATATTAAAAATAATTAATTATTTAGGGTGAACAAGTTAGTTATTGGACATGCGGCAGTTATCGGGCACTTTGCCTCTGTTCAAGGAAAATAAGAAATCTGTATGTATTAGTTCGGTTCGGTCTTAGGCCCGTATCGTCAGTCGTCCCTACAATTGTAGGGCGCGTTTATGGCCTCCTTGATTGTCATAGTTTTCTACTTCTCCGTGTCAGAGCTCTATTTTGAGGTTATGTCACAAACATCTATTTGCATCAAATTGTGCTTGCTTTTGAGTTATATCATGTTTTATCAGCCTGAAATTTCCTACAATTTAAAAAGAAAACATATATTCACAATAGGAGAGCGCTGACGCTGACACGGGACGAGTGTAATCTGAAGGAGAGAAAAGAGTATGACAATCAAGGAGGCCATAAACGCACCCTACAATTGTAGGGACGACTGACGATACGGGCCTTAGATAGCAAAGCTATGATCATGGCAGCATGATTCATCTTATATGCAAGGCATCCTGTAATCCATTTTGGCGCCAAATCGCAGGTACATGCGTGTGTTGTTGAGGCAGTTTGCTTGTCTCTTAAGATACATTTCCTACACTCACACCTGGACTTTTTTCCTGACAATTGCGGAGCCGTAAGTGATGAGCACGGCGAACGTTTTCATCAGGATATTTCAACAATGGAAAAAAGGTACCAAGGAAAGTGGAATCCTTCCATGCTTGCAGACTACTGTTGGACTCTTGGTAGAGATGCTCCAGAAACGATCCATAAAAGAACAGCAAAAAGACAGCGCATATAGTGATCCTTATAAGTATATGAATCTTGTTACTTTTTTCAATATATCCTTAAAAATAAAAGTTTTTTTTCTAAACCGCAACTAATTTTTTTATTTCATTGTCATTTTTGGATTCAGCGCCCCAAAATTAACAAAGAAGTGCACTTTTCCCACAAGATACAATTAAAAAACTAAAATTTGTTGTCCAGTGAATAGGTCTGCTAAAAAGCCCAGTGTGAATCTATGTCACCTATGATGATGATTGCTTGATGTTTCTGATTTACTTAGACAACTTTCTAGTCTTGAGCTTTGATCATCGTAGATAAAGTGATAGAAATAAGTATACAAAGCTCCTTTGTCGTCATTTGTGTACTTGAAAGGTTGTGTAGATATCTGTTGACCCATTTATAAGACCTGATAAAAACCAGGCAGTTGAATCCTTTGTAGTATAATAATCAGATAAATGCTTAATGGACGTAGTCTACAATTGGATAATTTTTCATTAATTTCATCATTGTGAGGCATAGCGAAAATACAGGAGCTAGGAGTGTATAATTAACAAGAAGTAACAATCTTCAAGGTCATTCTGGGACTAATAACAGTCGCAGTTTCCATACAAAAAACGTATTTTCCTTAATAATACCCAAATGCATCTTTGCCTGGAAAGCCAGTTAGTGATAAATCAACCATGTTTTAGATGAAAATGCTTAACTTGTATCCTTAAGGGTATCGGCCAGTTCTGGACATACGAGGTTCAACGGTTAGGATGGAAGGCCGAAGTCAGGCGGCTTTGTCTGGCAGGCACATCGTGTAGTCGGAGCGGCAGCACCCCAACCATGTGAGCAGTAATCGCGTCTGTCTCAAAAATCGTCGATTTATACATTTATTGTATATGGCTAAATGCAGAGCGGTAAATTTGGCATAATAGCATAAAAAAAATCATTAAAAAATGCTCGATGCTGTCTACAAATTTCTAATTGCATCTCTATGGCTCAGTCTCCTGCTAGAAGCTTAGATTTAAGAGATACTAAACGAAGAAGGTCTCATTATGCAGGTATTTTGCATTCCCTACACAACTGTTTGAATATGAGCAAAAAAATTTGACGTTTAATAAAAAAAAGTTACCCAGCAAACTGTTTTATTATCTCTTGATGAGAGTCCTTTGCATTTACCCTTACTACATTTTCTTTTCTCGAACAGAGATCCTGAAACTGGAAAAGAAACTGGAACTGTGACTAAAAATTCCACTGTTCGTATATCCTTGTAACGAAACTGATAAGGCGGGTCACATAATAGGAAGTACATACACCGACAATAGAGACAACAAGATTCATCATAAAGACTCATTAAAATGAAATCCTTTCAGTAATTGTTAGTCGCTTAAGATATGTTGATGCTCTGCTATTATTTTTAACCTTGACTGGTCAAGAGAAAAATGGCCGTAGTGAAGATAAAAGTCAGCATTGATATGTCGTAGACAGCATAATCAAATAGTGATCCTATAAATAGCTTCATGGTGAAATTGCAAGCTATTAAAGTACAGTCAGAGGAAAGAAGTAATAGCGGATGAGATACGTTACATGACAAGAGGACAAAAACATAACTCCACGGCTATAAGCACAATATGAAGAAAGTGTAGGGGTAGCTATAAAGGCTATCTCGTAACAAAAAAAAAACATTACTGCAGAACTGAAACAGAGATAGCATGTAAGAAACCTAAAAAACGTAAAAACGACAAACTATCAGCTTGCAGACTAGGTAGTTTTCAGTGTGCATTCCACACTTCCTCGCTGTGACCGTCTATATAGGGTGACTTCGAAGTTGAGTCATTTATAACAGTGAGTAGATCTGATCAAAAGAAATGTTTTTTCCTTTACCATTTTTCTGGTAAAATTAAAGTAACAAAGTTATAACCCTTTGGAAGTTTGAGTACCGCCCTGTCTCAATAATAATATTATCTGCTCGTGTTTGGCGACAACGGATATAATTCGCCTTATCGGTTCATCGCATCGGAAACAAAAAAGCGAAAGAATTTGGAACGATGTTTTTACAATTATTTCATTCAGTTGTATACAGGCAGTGTCAGTCGGTAGTGGATAGTGGTGTCTGTTGTGTGGCTCAAACGAAATAAAAAATGGCACATGTTTATGCGGATCGGTTTCCCAATCGAGTGCAACCAACCCCTCGTGCCTTTGTTAATGTAGTACAACGGGTTCGTGAATCATTTGACTTAAGACCTCACATATGGACGGCATGCCGGTGCTCCAAGACCTCACGATCAAATACAGGTCCGCACTGAAATACTTGTCGGGAGGATACTTTATAAAACAAGGTAAAAATTTTTTTTAATTTTTTTTTTATTTTTACACACATATTTTGGTTTATCTTCCTTCTACAATCATTATCTGAAAATTAATGACTCAACTTCAAAGTCACCCTGTATACAGGGTGTCCGCAAAGTTGGGGTTTTCCTTTACACGACGTGTAGATCTTGAAAACATAAGCAATTTTTCTTAGTACCATATACACCAATGTCTTAAGGGAACCGAGTTAAAGGGCTCTGCAACATCAAAAATATCTGAATACCGTCCTGTAGCCGCGACTCGCGACATCCCCAATTGGTACTAGGACACTAGCTCAACCCGACGACAGAACTGGGTCGGGGTCAGTGTGTCAGGTCAGTATGCAATCTTCAACCGACGGTTACGGTCACGCGTGTAGAGGTAACGAACCCGTATAATCGATTGCGTTTCAAAAAACAACAAGCACTAGAGACGTGGCTAGAGAAGTGCAAGTATCAAAAACTAAAGTGTGGCAAACGCTGCGTGAAGAGGGGCTGTATCCGTTTCACGTCCAACGTGTACAAGCCCTTCAACCTGACGATTTTCCAGCAAGAGTGCGGTTTTGTGAGTGGTTGTTGCATCAACATGACAATAATCCGGACTTTTGAAGTGCATATTGGTGACAGACGAATCTACGTTCGTAATGGGTGGAATAACTTCCGCAACACTCATGTTTGGTCAGTAGAAAATCCGCACGCTGTCCGTCGGGCACATTTTCAACAAACATTTTCGGTGAATGTTTGGGCTGGCATGGTGAGCGGTATGCTCATTGGACCATTTATTATAATATAATACCTAGACTTTTTACGCAACATTTTGCCTTCCTTGTTTGCCTTCGTCTGCTCGGTAGCGCATCAGCTGATTTCATTTTCTGTTGGAGCGGTATGATTTCGGGCAGAGACGTACTTAGCCCTTCTCGTCAACTGGAGAGTGAGTACTTTTTCCTTTATTTTGTTTTACTTTTTTACTTGGTCGCCCTCGTTTCACTACACATTACCTTTGTTATTTCAAGGGTAGTTGTTTCTGAAAGGAAAACCCCAACTTGGCGGACAGGGATGATTCAACGACTCACTCAAGCATGCATTGTTGGTTGCAGAAGCCCAAGCAGTGTTTATCTCTGAGAAGACGAAATAAAGAAGGTTGGTTGAGTAGCAAGATCGCATCTGGATGATTTGTGTATTGGTCTGCAGATGTTTAAAATCAGTGTTATTTGCTATGTGAGAAAATTATCACTGAATATGCTGGCAATGAAGTACATCTATTGGCTGTGCGCGTGTTTTCCTCTCTGAAGATAGGTTATGTTCAAAGTCATAAATTACAGTTTAATGCCATCTC